AAAAAAAAAAAAAATTCTTGCCAGTTGGAATAGTCTCTTATCTTGGGACCTGGGGACTGAGGAAGGGAGGGGAGGGGAGGCATCTGCCCTATCAGGCTGACCAGGAACACTCCTTCCCTGCCTAGGGCGGCCTTACACCCTGAGTGTGGCCCTGCCGGGCTCCATCCTGGATAATGCCCAATCGCCTGAGCTTCGCACCTACCTGGCTGGCCAGATTGCCAGAGCCTGTGCCATCTTCTGTGTGGATGAGATTGTGGTATTTGATGAAGAGGGCCAGGATGCCAAGTGAGGGGCCATCCCATAGGGTGCTGGGGCTTAGGGAGAAGGGAGGAGCTACCAGGATTGGGCATGGCTTTACCCTGCCCCCTGTCTGCCTGCCAGTTCTTTCTGAGTGCCCTGCCTGAAATGCCCCCACTATAATCCTTGGTGGGTAGAGCTGCCAGGCAGGGGTAGTAACTACAGAGGGAAGATTGGGAGGAGTTCTTGAAGGGGCCGTAGTTGGATCATGAGCCCTATCTCTCTCCAGGACTGTGGAGGGGGAATTCACGGGAGTTGGCAAGAAGGGCCAGGCATGTGTACAGCTGGCCCGGATCCTGCAGTACCTGGAGTGTCCACAGTAAGGGGGTGAACCCCTGGGCATGAGGGAGGAGTGTGTCAAAGTGGAGGTCAGGAAGCAGGTGACCTCCCCTTGCCTGGGTACTTCCTGAGGTCTGTGTTTCTTGCTAGGTACCTGAGAAAGGCATTCTTCCCCAAGCACCAGGATCTACAGTTTGCAGGTAAGGCTGAGTGGGCCAACCCTGTTTCCCATGGATCACCCCTCAGACACTGAGATCATCCTGTCTTACCAGCTACTGTCCTGCTGAGGAAGCAGACCCAGGAGGCCACAGCCTGTAGCTCATGTCAAGCAGCAGTTTTGTGGCAGACCCTGAACCATGATCCCCACTGTACCCCATGTGCTTTTAACACTTTCCAGACTCTTTCCAGCCCTCCCTCCCACAGGGCTCTTGAACCCCCTCGACAGCCCTCACCACATGCGTCAAGATGAGGAGTCTGAGTTCCGGGAGGGCATCGTGGTGGACAGACCCACCCGGCCGGGCCATGGCTCCTTTGTCAACTGTGGCATGAAGAAGGTAGGAATGAAAAGGTGGTCCGGGACATGCCTCAAGGATATAACTCTGGCTTTGGAGGGCAGACAGGGGCATGTGAGTAGGAAGCCCTGGACCTGGCTGCACATCCCCTGCTGATGCAAGTTCAGGTCAGAGTATTGCCACAAACAGGGCTCAATAGATAAAGCCAGGGACGAATTTGTTTAAAAAGCAAATCTTAGAGCTGGCACAGTGGTTTACACCTATAACCCCAACTCTTGGGGAGGCTGAGGGAGGAGGGTCTCTTGAGGCTGGGAGTTTAAGACTAGCCTGAGGGCTCGGCGCCTGTGGCTCAAGTGGCTAAGGCGCCAGCCACGTACACC